ATCTCCTGAGCACCAAGTAGTCAACGCAGTCATGATCTACCATCAGCTGTGTTTGCCCACAATGGGCCTGAACACTACTGGGCATATCTACAGACAATCATGGACCAGAGAGGAGATTAGGGGACCCTATTTCTTCCTGCTGAACTATTTTGGGTATTGATGGATTTAGGAGAGGAATTGTTATCATCTTTGTCGTCAAATACCCAAACATTAGGGTTTATGACTCAACATATAGACACTAACATCCAATTCACAGTACAATTGGATTCTTGTAGTTTGTTTATTACAATAGAATGCACATGCAGCACGGCACTTGTAAAGAAATGAAATCAAAAGAGAAATTACAATCTTCATAGCATGAAAGTAATTTTGAGCTTGTGAATTCCAGCCTGCAGCTTTAGGAAAGCCAGGGGTCCACAAAGCATACTGGAGAACCACAACACTTTAACAAAAACACAAAAATTTCAAATCCTAGTGACTTGAGAGAAAGTTTTTCTCTTTTGCTTTTTTCTCCTCACTCTAGCCCTTGATTTGAGACTCAGCTTAGTGGATCAGATACCATCTAGAACACCGGTAACTATAGCAAAGGGAGACAAAAGCATGACATTTTGAACTGATTCTTAAGTCTTCCCCTCAGTTCTGCAAGACACATGTTATGGCTGCTTAAATTTATGAATCAAACAATACAAACACACACACACACACACACACACACACACACACACACACACACACACACACACACACCCCTCCTGAGTTCTTGAAGGCAGAGTTTTAACTCTCTTCAGTGAGAGTCATTCAATATTAGTTGACAGTAGTATTGTCCACTGTCGAACAAATATTGGTATGTATATTTAATTCTGCTGTGCTAAGTCATCAGACTTTCTGGTCTTGGTCAGAGTTTAGTAAAGTTATCTCTGTATTTAACTATAAACTTGTTCATTTTCTGGTCTCATGAATTAGTGAGACTCAGTAACGAATGAACATTCACTAAAGGGACACTTACAGAATACCTGACAAAATATTTTTTCGATTTGTGCATGATACTGATATGTCTTAGATTCCAAGAAAATATGATCAAATGCTATGAGCTAAATCGGACTAAGAAAGAATCATTTTAGATAATTCACCCAAAGCACAGATACACTAAATAATACAATTTTAGCCCTAAAAATTGCAGCAAAGTTACATATGTCCAGATAATATTTTGGAACTGGCTTTGAAATGGTGTCATCGTACAAATTAGCCTAGTTAAACACTCAAATGATAATATTTCCTACAGTTTTTACAGTAGGGGTGCATGTTAGCTAATAAATAAAATGTCTAGTACTCAAAAAATCAAGATATTCTTAAATAACTATAGACATGAAACCTCTATTTACTAGTTCCCTTGAGAGCCAACTCTGGTAAGAACTCTGCTGAATTTCTAATCTTCCTACATGCAGCACTCACTCTAAATGCTGCTCTATTGACTACTTTTACTGCAAAAGCCATTTTCTAAAACCAATTATGCTCACAGAAATATCTTGCAGATGATAACAAGATTATATGATATAAATTGCCAAGACGTGGGTGATTGCTCTTACCTCCAAGAAACACAACTAAGCATTTGTATTTTATTTTTATTAATTTTAGGATCAAAGTCCCAAACTTAAAAAAAGAGATTGGCTGAACACGTAAAAATATGCAGCACTGCATTTTCTCACAGTGTAGTAAAAATTAATCAATGGAAAAAGAAGCTTGTCTTCAGAAGATCCGTCCTTCCTAAGAGTAATATTTTATTCTAATTAAACTTTGTGAAATCTCAGTACGGGTACATAATGGACAAATATTCCCTCTGCATAGATGAAAAAAATAAAGTCATAAACAGGTTAGAGAGAAGTTAGAGGTCATACAACGAGTCATTAACAGAGCCAAGGAGGTATAATGGTCTTCTTTTCTTCAAGTATGGCCTCAAATGTGTAACCATTGTGATCATAACTATACATTTGTAGTTCTAGCAAATTTAGGAAAACATCTTTGTCAAAACATAAAGGCAACGAAGTGAAATTTTACTTATGGCCAATTATCTTGGTTGGGAATGACAAAAGGCATTCTCACTAATATTTAATTTTTCTTTACATTTAGAAACATCTGTTGTCCAACCACAAATAAATGCAAATATAACTGCAATGCCAAGAAGCATTCGCACCACTATCCCATTAAAAACCCTCATGTGTGAATGGGTGTTTAATTAGGCTGTATTAGATTAATCCCAAGTCTCCATTGGTTGTAACAAATGAAAAGATAGTGTGCACTGTCATGGGGATAGACATTTAAAGCTCAATGTAACTTTCATATTTTTCTGTGTGATCGGTCAGCTAGGGCTTCCCTTTAATGAAAATTTGGTTTGTAAATCAGAAACTCTTCTTAATTGCAAGGAATGCAAAGCAGGAATTCTTTTTTTTTTTAAAGGATTGACATTACCTTTGTTGTTTGATATGTTAAAATAAGGTCCATAAGGGGCTGATCTAAACAATAAAGTTAGTATAAAATAGATAAAAGCTTGCTTCTTGGGCCTGTATAGTGATCCTAGCAAGCTTGGAAAGAGCAACCTCATGCTTCTGATATAATATTGCCTGCAAAGCAGTAGAATATTTGTTATAAAAGGCCTTAAATGTCATTTCTTAATGACATTTTCAGGTCATTTTAAACACTTTTAAAATCATTGCACATATATTATAATTATCACCTGTGAAAAATCTCACCTCCAATTTAAACAATGTTAGGGAATTAAATGTAAATTTAAGTAGTGAAACCTAATTTTTAAATCAGAAAAACCATTCCAGCTGACACGTGAGTTTTGCTTTGTCACTGTACTGTATCCCGTTCAGTAGAACAAAGACCGGATGCATAATGAGCCAATGTAAATGAAGTCAAATCAGCAAAACAGAGTGGGGGAGGGGAAGGTGTAAAATATGACAGTCGTGTAATGACCAGGGAGTAGAGAATTTAAATGTTTAATGCCTGCACATTCAGATTCATTTTCTGTCATCTCTTTGAATGGGTAGACTGAGGTGCTTGGCAGTCCAGAGTGAAACATCATCCTCTAGACAAAAATAATCACTAATGTTACTTAAGCATGGATCTGATCTGCGCTTATCATCATCCTTTTCCTATTACTTTCCACTCCCATGCCCTGCTGTGGTGGGGGCATGGTAAGGAAGGTGGTCATAATTAGAGATAATTAGGGGAAATGCTCTAAGTATTTATTTGGAGCTTTCTGTCTTACCCTTCCGTCCTGCATGCCAGCTTCCCATCTCCCAGCCATGATGGAAGCTCAGAACACAATAGAAACACAGCAACAATATGAATTGCAAATGCATGTATATCTTTCCGTACAACCTATCTTATTGACTCTTAATAAAATGAGTATCTGCTAAAAAATATCTTTAACTGTAAATAGCTTTGCTGTTGATGACGGGCTTTGGAAAAACACTACACACATGCCTTAACAATCAACTAGACAGACTTGTGCTAAACAGAATAGCTTAGTGCTTGTCTGTAATTTCTCCCCTCCCTCTCAAAAAAAAAGAATGAATCTTCCTAATAATCTGTGCTGCTTAGCATGTACTATAACTGTGCATGTGAAAATGTGAGTATTTTATATACCCCACACATTAGGACTATAACAAGCCTTTATCATAATGTTCTCATATTTAACATTTTCTCTCCCTATAGTAAGAATTATCAAGAATTTTAGCATTGAGACAATCGAATGCAATGTCCTCATCACCTCATTTTTTTCTCTTATGCAGTTCCAAAATAATGCTTTCTCAAAACATATCCATAAATTCATTTCACTGTCCAGGTGGTTTAGCACATAGTAATTAAGTTGGAGCTATAAACAGCAAGGCATACACATGGATTTCTCTGATTTCAGTGTTATATTATAGCAGTGAATATTAATCCCTAGAAACAAATGTATTGATAATGTCAATGGGAAATTCTTTTTTGTTGGGGGAGTATATCTATTAGGGGAAAATTATTGTAAAATAAGTTAAATTTCTCGTTAGTGTGCTAATTAAATTATTCAAAAGAAATTTTCTTCATATTGAAGAGAAAAGAAAGCAATATTCCCGGCACTTGTAATGTGCACTAGAGGGCTTCTGTTACACGGGTAGCATGCAGGGCATGTGTCTGGTCTGCATGCTGGGGGCTGGGGTAACAGGGGTTTGAATACTCCTTGCTTTGTAATTATTTAAGTGTTGTATCTAGAGGAGGCATAAAATGCTAAACTTTTACCTTTGAATCTGTTTGTGAAATATCTTAATGTTACCAAATGTGAATACAGTGAGCTTAATCAGTAAATTTGACCAAGATTTATGAACTTTTTTCTAAATGCATTTACATTTACATATACAGAAGTGCATATGCGTACATAAATTTATTTTATTACATACTTTTTATACAAACTGAATGTTCAGCAGTTAAAGTACTAAAAAAGCCAATCAAAATACTCTTCATATATCCTTAAGTCCATAAACCTCTTTACACTTTTTTCTTTTAAAGAAACAGCTAAATTATGGAGATGTAGACAACATTACAGAACATTTGCCAGGTATGTCTTGATTCTTATTTGAAATTCCCACAAGAATACAGGCACGACAGTAATATAAACCATAGAGAGAGGTGAAAAAGGTAGAACACAGGGACTTGTAAATAAATCCATGAATATCAAGAAGCACAGATGCTAAGACTATGCATTTTCACCAGTGTGGTTCTGAGATTGTAAACTGTAAGGCCAGAATTTGCACCGTTGGTTGTAGCAGACCCTGCTGAGGGAGGGAGAGGATGGGGAGACTCAGAGAAGCTTGGGAGGAGGGAATAAGGAAGGAATAGAATGAGGGAGTGAGTGAGGGAGGGAGTCAGAAAGAGAGAGAGAGGGGAGAGAGGGAGAGAGGGGGAGGGAGGGACAGAGGGAGGATAGGGAGGGAGGGAGAAAGGGAGAGAGGGAGAGAGACTGAGAGAGGAGCAGAGAGGGAGAGAGATAGCCAGACACAATACCGCATAATAATGGTAACATTCCTGCATGTCTAATGGCTTAAATATGTTCAGTGCCTCACTCTAGCCCCATGCCACAGCTGATGTCAAAAACCATTTAATATTTTATCAACAGTCCTTCCTTGAAGGACAAAATATGTGTGTGTATACATACATACATACACACACACACACACACACACACACAGACGCATGCACATTTGTATGAAGCATCCAGGATTTTCTAAGCCCTTGAGTGGCAAAAATTTTAAGCCACAGATATTTGTAAATATCCCACATTTAGCAAGATTCACACCATTTTACAATGAATCTAACATTATTTACATGTTATTATTTACATGTTAGAAACAGCAAAATGTCCTATTTACTGAAGAAACATACTCACATTTTATCTTCTTATGAAACAGTAGGAATGTATAACTTTATTTATTAATGTAAATTCAATCACTGATTGAATTATGATTATAATACCAGTCAGACTTCTAGGTAGCTATTGTGGAAAACATTGTTTTCTTGTTTGACGGATAGTCTGCTTGTAACAAAGAATGACTGAATTGTCTTAACAAAGAAGATGAAGGCTGTATATGTTGGTTACAATAGAATAACCACCTCCCAGATCTCTTAAATCCACAATATATGTAGTGTGAGTCCTGAGTGGCTTTTGTTTTCAATGTCTTTTGTAAGCTTTTAGGGTTTTTTCTGCATCAAATGTCAAGTTAATTTACAGGGCGCTATTACTGATATGTTTCCTTGGTTTGTGGTTTTCTGTGAAAGGCAGGCAGCTGAGACCAAGTCTTAGGCTAGGGGGAGGGGCAGCTGAGCCCATAACACATACACTGTGCCAGGGTCTGTAAATTGGCTGCCTGTATGACAGCAGGCCCAGGGAAACCTCTAGTCTTCATTTGCATGCTGAAGAGTATCCAGGATTAAACCGGACTGATTTTCATACAGGATTTAGACCTGACATTTATTATTCGGTTCACAGACCTCTTGAAGGAAAGTTTGTTTTCCACTCATAGATGAAAAATCTTCCAAGATAAATAAAGACTGGCTTAGCAGTAACAGGAAATAAATATCTTTCCTGTATTCCTTATGAATTTATCTTATATGATTAACAGACAGATGTTTGCCACCAAATTGTTATATTTTGCTCTTTAGCATTTCCAAAGGAAAATATCTATCAAGACCTCTCTCAGTGTTTATATAAAATGTATTCATTTAATTCTGGAAGTTGAGTTTTCATAAATAAATTTAAAGACAGACATTTGATTTTCAGAACAAATTAAAACAACACTGGAGCAGTAAAATACTCTGAGATGGTTAATTTTGCATCTGCTCCATGTGCTTCTATGGGGATAAAGGAAATTTAGGTTCTATCGTAAGCCTCATTTGCACACTTTTAAACAAAACATGAAAATTACAAATGAATGCTTCACATGAGCGCTATATGCTTAGTTTATAACCCAGATAGTTCATTTTCATTGCTAGCAGATTTACAAAAATATTTTGATGTCTTTAGGTATTAATGTTTTTTGCAGAGAAACACTTATATTTAAACATGATGCTGGTGTTTTTACTGAGCCGAGATTTAATTTTTAATATAGAACAAAACATTTTATGACACAGTACCAGGATGAAGAAACATGACATGGTTTCTTTCTTCTTTCTGGAATACTGTTCTGTGTGGCTACAAAAAGGCTGGAAGTGGTGATTAGGCAAGGCCGGAAGAAGGCTGAGTACTCATGTATTAGTAAACAGAGTAGAGTTCTCAAATGGATTGAAAATATACTTTACACATTTAATAAGCATAAGGTAGAATAATATAAATGTTAGCAATTAAACACTATTGTGTCTGTCAGTGCATGTGGCAGAAACAGTATAAACTCTGACACATATTTGAATTTTTAATGTGTCAATGAAACTTTTGAAAATGGATTCTGGTATTTGATTTCTTTATGGGTGTTATACTAAATATATAAATTCTTAAATGTGTTCATTATAGAACATCTCTGGAAATTTTGCCTGTTTGTTTTAATATTGCTTTTATTGTAAATGTATGCAAATCAATTTGTGATTATACTCAGAAGTATTTATTATTAAAATTTTAGACAGATTGTATCAATGCACTCCTTTTAGGGAACTACCTGCATCATCTATATGAATCTATTTATTAACCTCAGTTAATAAATGAACATGAGGAGACTATCGTGTTTTACCTTGATTTAATTCACATGCATTCAAGAACACACACACACACACACAATCTAACTCAACTAAATACAAGTTATAAGTACAACCAAAGAATACAAGTTATTGCTGTAAGACAATTGTCATCTTTCAGGGAGAAATATTTCAGAATTATATATATATATATGTTTCAAATGTTGACATAAACACATGGACATTATTGTAAACTATGTCTACATAAGCAAAATGAAGAAAATCTGAGACAGTCATTTGAGAAATTCATGGTCAATCTTTCACTTTTGTCTGCAGTAAAGAGTTGAGGCACTTGCGCTTTACCCTTGAGTTATCTGGATGTTTGACTCAGTTCTTCAGTTTGGGTTATTCACATGTGTAGACATAACAGTTGTGTGTCTGCTGAGAGTGGCATTTTAAAAATCAACCAAATAAAAATGCATCCTTTTACAGCATCACCATCTTACGTGTCTGCATTACAACAAAGTGTGTTTATCAATCAAATTGGGACCTTAGCAAGGGGCAAACGTTTAATATATTTTCCTAAGTAATCATTTCTAAAGCAATAAATGGTGATATTTAGAAATGTAACATACAGTTACAAATATGTCATACAAAGCAGCTTCAACCTAATCTGGAGGAATTCCCCAGTATCTACCCTTGTCATTTTTATTAGCAACTCACTTTCACAGTAGGCCCTGCTAATTGTATGGAAAGCATTTCTGGTGGTGTTCACAGTACTGAACAATATGTAATCTGAAATCATATAAGTATTTGCCTGAGAAAAAGAATTCTGAATCTAGCTGGTTGGAATGGGGAGCGTTATTTTTTAACCAAGTCAACTTTAGTGACTTTATTGTTAATACATATAAAAATATGGCTATTTTGCTGTTTTTAGTGATGGCATGAGAAATGTAATAATTGCCCCACTATTTAAAACTCTTGATACAATTCACATTCACTCACTCTGAATATAAGATGCCTCTCTATCATACTGCAGGAATCTTTATATCTTTGGTGTAATTAGTACTGTATAGTATTCATGACAAACAGTCTAAACTAGAAAAAGGATTCCTACTTGATAATCATTGTAAATATGAAATTGTCAATCTACTCCTAATTAATCATCAAGATAAAGATAATGTGCAAGTCTCCAAGCGATGCAGCTCACTTAGGAAAAATGTAAATATGTTGCAAATAGATTATTGTTTCAAATGCCTGTGCTTAATAAAGTTGGTGGGCCATGTTTGCCAAATAATTCAGTCAGGCAAGCAATCACAGTTTAAAAGTAGTTAAACAATTTATTCTCATCTTAAAATGCCGTAAGCAAAAGTCCATGCATTTGTTGGTATTAAATGTATAAGACAATTGATAAAAGTATCATTTAATAAAAACCCATATAGTGTACTTTTATACTTCAACAGGTAGAGAATCATTGTAAAACTTTAAAAAACATATAGTAAAGAATTTCATTGTATAACATTTTTATTATTCAAGTTCTTCATTTCATACCACTCCCTGGAGAGGGGCTGAGGAAATATTAAAAAATACTATAAAAATATAAAGGATAAGATATTTGTCACTCTCGTTTAAATTGATGTATGCTGCTGTCCTATAAACGTCACATCAGATAACCCTGAAAAATTACCATGAATCTCCATAATTACGCATATTCATGATGGTGTTTTGCATACTGCTAACAGCAGACTGCATGTGGGGTGGGACATGAAGGGAGTAAGAGTGATGTGACAGATTAAAATTATTACCAGTATCATGGAAATAGACAGCAATAGTACCATTTTGTTAGGGCTTAGAAAACAAAAGCATATCAAGAAATTGTGTGGTAATTAAACAAGTAGGCATTTTTTCTTTTACATATTTCACCATAAGGTGTTAACAGGGATAAACTGGCTAGAAATCATTCTTCCTTGAAATATGCTTATATTTGTCATAAGTTCCTAGGTATGAGACTGTAGCCCCTGAAAAGAGCTTTTTTTTTTTTTAACTTTTCTTTGGGGGAAGAGGAGAAGATGGGATGTGGGTGACTTTTCAAGCTCACTGAAATATATGAGTTTCTTATATGGTGGACCAGCACTTGATGTTCTGAGTGCAAAGCACCTGGATATGTTTCCTTTCTTCTGATAAATGTGAGTCATGCTCAGTAAAATGTTAAAATGCTCTGAGACAGAAAAGTTGTCTGGCATCTACCTCTACAGATATTTTGTGCTGAGTCAGAGAGCAGGGTTAATCAGGGACTCTGGAAGCAATTATCGACAGAGTTTGGGTAATACAAATGCTTGGGTAAACAGGACTGTTCTTTCCTCAAGACTGCCAGTAGAAACAACAATACTGGTATTGTCCTCCACCTCTCATTAGGGGGACTGCAGAAGGGGATGCTGCACCACGAGGTGGGTGGGAAACTGACAGGCAAACCGTGCTGGGAACGGCTCTCCTGATGCCACTACCACAGGCTCTGGCTTTTGGCATCAGGAGTGCCAGCTGCATGAGGAGAAGCCAAGCCTGTCATACCTTCTTCACGTCAAATCTTCAGGGTATGAGAGCTAGAGCATAGTTAGAGCTTAATGAAGAAACAAACACAAAGGGGGAAGATTAGGCCTTGTTAACACTCGCATTCATTTCCTGGTAAGAAACTGCACTGGGAAGGCTGTCCTATAGAACGCATTCTTCTCTTCAGAAGAAAGTTGCAAGGATGTATTTTTATACTGTAAAGGGTGGGGAGGGAATCTTTCAGTTCTCCTGTAACTCTCAGCCAGCAAAATTGTGTTGTCAAAAGTGCCACATGAAACGGTGATGTCCATGACAACTGTCAAAATTGGTAAATAAGCACTTTTGAATTTATTATACTAATAGTATTGGACTCACTGCCTTGTAAGACTTTTCCTTGCATGCTTACGTGGTGCCAGTCTGCTTCTTTGAAACACTAGGATGTGAAAGTCTGTCCACTGTTCAGGGATAGCAGTCTCCTCATTGGGGTGAAACTTCCATGTTTTGTAGCACTACATTGCTTTTCAAATTAGTTGTGTGTGAGAAACAAGAATCATATTTTTGAAGTTCACTGTGAACTACCCAGAAAGTTTGACAGCAGAGTGCTACAATTACGTCTTATTGTTGTAAGCAGTCAGTCAGCTGCACAAAAGTGTATTGTGCACAGTTGCAATGTAAAGCCTGTTTTTGTTTATGCTCTCTGTCAAGCACTTAATGTGTCAAGGTGAATCTTAAATGATGCTGTTCTAAATGGAATAAGACACTTTCTACTCCACACTGTGTGTAGGGCCTACTCAGGAGAGACACGTCTGTGGTTCTTAACTGTGGAATGTGGTGAAGGAAGGCAGGTTATCTGTTAAGGGAATCTCAGAGAAGGATGCACACTGTTGTATTGGAAGTGTAATACCTGTGTAATACTTGACATTTCTTACAAATTCGTACAAGTCTCAGATGCTAGCTCAATGAGAAAACCTTGTATGTGCTTTGGCCTGTGATGAAAATAAGCCAAAACACGGAGAGCTGGGTATTACTTTGGGAAGTAACTTCATAGTATGGCTTCCTGTAGTCATATAAAACTATAGATCCAAACAATGCAAACTCACTGCTAAATAAGCTTATTTTATAAGAAAAACATTTAAAATATACGCTACAGGAATAGCTGGAAGAGAAGTCATTTCACATGCACACTGTGTCAACCAAGTAAGTTCACACTTGTTTCCACGTAATGACAACAAAAAAATGGTGTAGTTTTTGCTGTATAAAGAAAGCCCAACTTTGTCTAGAGTAAGATGTCACAGCTCCTATTTTACTGCCAAATTACAGCTCAGTTTTGAGGGCCATTACTTGAATTTTTCATTGGTCTAGCGTGACTATGTTCTTCTTTTTCTACTTATGTGACTGGAAAAACCCAGTATTACTGTATTACAGAAATGATATCTATTATTCTGTTGTTGCCGAAAGATGTCAAATTAGTTGCTATGTACTGAGTTCTGCTGCAGTTTTGCTTTGCTGCTATTATATTTGCACAAAATAATTTGGCCCACGGTATATGCATAGGAAATACTTGCACATATTATAAATTTCTTAGTTCACAGACTTCTCTAACACCATGGATATCACCAGCCCAGTATGGCTGCTTCCTAAAATGTGGGGTCCAGTTGCAAGAAGATGACGTCTTCAGGAACACTTCTCAGAGAAAACTGTTGCAATGAATTCACCACTCAAATGATGATGGGTGTTTATTAGCATTAAGTCTCCTGCAATTTCAGACCAAGGACAGTAACATATTGACTATTACTGCCTTTTCTTATTAATTTTATTAGTGGTCACCTTAGTAGTTTATAATTAAACGTGACAAGCAGATTCGCATGCTGTCTCCAAATGTGTTTGCCATACTGTTAAAACAACTTTGTCATAACCAGGGAAATGAGACTTTTCTCTTGAACAATAGAACTCCTTTAAATATTTTATTAATAATTACTTCAGCATTGATGTCTGGGATTAATTTCTAACACTGACCACTAGCTTCTGCAGCTGCTGTCACTTAAGTAGAGAAAATACCCTGCCAAGAGAGTATATAGAGGAAAATCTGTGCCTCTGTAATCCATTGTACTTCAAGTAGATGACTGTAAAATGAATATAACATGTATAATGCATCATGTGTTTAATATATACCTATAATACATATAATAACATTAGGCTAATACATATAAGAACGTTCCAAATGACACAGTAATAGAAAAAAGTAAGTTCTCCTGAAGGATGAAAACACCATAAACAAAACGGACAGAACACGTTATTGTGTGGTAATCACTGCATGTCAGTAATGCATGCATTTAAATACATGGCAGAAACAGTCAGGGATGGTGACTTTTCGGTCTGAAATGTATTGTGAGACTGAAACTGGAACCTTTTGAGGTTAGCTAGTGCTCTGGATGTAAGTGACATATGTGTTTAATGACCAGTCGTCTGTCCCCACTTTACAAGACGTCACCCAAGGAAGAATACACGTTTTGCTTAAAGCTTAGTCTTAATTACGTATAAACTCAGGAGAATCAAAACAAAAGATAAATATCCCTTAACTTATATCTGCAAGAATTTTCCACGAGTTTAAAGTTTCCCCTAAAGTGAGCTGATTTCTGTGCGAAATGTGAAGAATCAAATTTTACTTTTAAAGTACTAGAAAATCTTGTATAGCACAGACAATTTATGATAATGCTGCACATTTGGACAAACTTCTTCAACTTCCTGTTTTTAACGTCAGAGCGCCGGACAGAAGGTCTTGCGCCACTGCTCTGGCCTACCATGCAGTCTCTAGCCGTTCTGACTGCTGCTCAGGAGGCTGTGGAGGAACCGGAGGAACCACGTCAGCAACCAGACCCTCAACTGGACCAACCTAACTTCAGCCTTGCCAAACTGAGAGCAGAAAGGATGTCTTCTGGGCTCCTGGCAAAGCCATAAAAAATTCTTTTAGCGCTCAGGGGTGTGGGGGTGGGGGATGATCGAATTGAGGCTAGGGACTGTCAAGTTTATTTTAACCTCAGTCGTGGTTTGTATGTCCTGGATATGTTCATTCTTCTTCACTCTCTTTTCAAAACAGCTCATTATTGGGGCCTTGAAAAATGCTGAACTAAATTCTAGTTTGACATCATCTCCCCGTACACACATGGGAGGGAACTGCTTGGCTTTTGTCAATCAGTTGGTTATACCCTAAGAGCGCTGACTTAGAAGAAGACAGTATCAAACTGCAGTTTCTCATCACACGGAACCAATGGCATCATTCAGGCTTAATACCTTCTGGTGTAACTTTAAAGATCACAGAAAAGATCGTGCTACAAAATACCAAGCGTTTGGCTTGGAGCATAAGAGATGTCTCAGCTTAGTGACCAAGATGAATTCAGAACAAATGAAGAGCTGAGTGATTGCAAAAGAATGGATATTTCATCCATTCTCCGTGTGTGTCACAGCGCCCTTCATTACTTCATCCATTCTCCGTGTGTGTCACAGCGCCCTTCATTTACCTGTAGGAGATTTTAGTGGCGTGTTGGGTCACTACTTAATTCTTGATCAAGCCTTCCTATCGTATTCAACACTTTGTCACAATGGAGACAGGACTTGAAAATTCTGGTTCTTATAAACAATGGAAGAGAATGAAATTGACACGAAAAGTGTTCATTTTTCTTTTTCTTTTAATATTGAAGCTATACATAAAAGTAGATAACAATTTCCAGAATACTTTAAGATGAATTTTAAATATATGAACCACAGAGATTGGAAAAATAAGTTATTTTGAGCTCACTTCCAAACATTTTCTATTGAAAGCAAAAAAGTTGAGGAAAGTTTTTTTTAACAGAGTTTACTACTATCTTTATAAAAATCATGCATAGTGAGAAACTGTCATGCATCTTTAGGAGATGTACCTTGAAGTAGCAGCATCACAGAACTTATAGAAACTCTTTAGATGTCTTCCCCCCTGTAAGCATAAATCCTATCATGTTCATAATATTTATTATTACAGAATCACTTCTTCACAGTACATCATTTATTATAAGTGTTTTCTAAGGCAGAATAGCCTGATGTTTTACTAAATATGCCCATTAACTATTTCCTGGAGAAGAGTGTTTTCAGGTGTCATCTCCTACATTTGTATTTAATCAAGGTGGCTAATGTATGTAGGCCAACGAATAACAGAGGTTCTGCTGTAGGCATTATGTTGTCCTGTTAACCTGAATTTCATTTGTGATTCTTCTCTGAGAATTACACCCCTACTTAAAAATAACTGCAGCAGCAAAAGTAGGTGTTCATTCCATCAATGATTTTGCTTATTCTTTGACAATTTTGTGCATATAGACAATATATTTTGATTGTATCAACCTAAAATACCACCCCAACTCTTTACAGAGCCCTCACCAACTTTTTCTAAAGACTTGGAGCTTGTATGATTGACAGTCCTTCCTCACAATGGAGGGAAGAGGTGACAAGATGGATGCAATCAGGAATGCATGAAGATTTACTCCATGATGGATAGGAACTTCAGCAAAGCCCCTCATCAGTACTGGTGAACATTACTCCATATTGCCTTGCATTTTCAGTGTTAACACAATTATGAAAACTAAACATTTTCTTCATGAGTATTATTGGCAACTTGCAGTTACTGAAAATAAATTGATATTGCTAATATTTTCTAGGTATAAAACTTGTGTATTAAAAAATAAGAGTAATCTTAAGCTAAAATGCCACATGACTGTGATCTCTCAGCTGCTAACTGGTAGGCCCCGCCCATTTGGAAATGATAATATCATTGTAAAAGAGTATATATGAATGTTCAATGAAAATACATGTGTAAAAGATTAGAAAGAAAATTATCATCCTATCTATTAACCAAAGCCCCCCCACTAGGAAACTTATAAATAAAATCTAATGAGACAAAATAATTCTATTTTCATCTATATCATTTTCACTGTATCTTTTCCTATATAGTATGCAAAGTTGAGTTTTATTCCATTTTTTGTCATCTGGAAGTTGATAATTATTTTAGGTCATTATTTGAGCATCTGTTTTAGTGCTCAGTTGGTTATTTTGGACAATTTAATAATCTTAATGTGATTTTTTCAGAATGAGTTTTTTAATGGAAGCATGAGGTCAAGATGATAGTGTATTTACCTTTGTGTCTCTAGTATCATACAGTCTGAAGAAGTAAGTACTGTTATACCAATAAATAAGCAAATAGTGAATTTCCATGCAATACTGTTTAGACAATTACTATTTCTCAGACTAGTATGCTAGTTTTAAAGGAGATGCCATTGTATTAAGACACAACTGACTTTATACCTTTCGAAAAACTTTACAGCATTTGCCAATATTTAGCTCTTTCAAGTAAAAGGCACAGACATCACCTTAAACATATTTTCCCCTCTGTGTGTTTTAAAGAAATCACGTGAAGACTCTGTATAAGAGCTTTAAGACACACTGAGTATACAAACCACACTAAGGGCAAGGCCCCATGCCTGGCAGTGGACAGCCAATACAAAATGAGCTCAGTGGCACTTTTTGAGTTGTTTTGTCTCATGATGCTTTGTCCAGACATGTTTTTAACCTTATGAGTATTTTTGTTAACTGTTATGTTTTTTGATTGGGGGGTTCTTTTTTAAAGGTTTTGTATGTGTTCCATGCTTTTTCCTTGTTTTTTTTTCTCTTTGATTATACCCTAGTTTTTTTTCCCTTCTGTTTTCTAGAGACAGAGAAGAAGAAAGCATGGAGTTGGAAGGGTGAAACAGTGCTGACGAGTGGAGGTGAGGGAGGGGAAACTGTGATCAGAATAGTTTGTATGGAAAAATTTATTTTCAGTAAAAATATATCAATAAAAATAAGTAAAAATACCACTAAAAGAGCACATGGACCAGTCGGAAGTTACATCCAAGTTTTATTTTGGAAAGTAACATACCACATAAGAGGGTCTTTTCTCTTTTACTGATACTGGGATTTAAAGATGTGTTAATTAAATGAAGTTCCTATATCATTTCTCACATTCGTTCTCAATGACTTTCTGACAACCAATTTACATTTTTAAATCTTGATATTCCAAAATTTATTTTTAAAGTTTTATTAATTTCTTGAAAATGCTACACTTTTCTTAGAAGGAATTACAATCTTTATGGCATGACTACAATGTTATTACTGTATTTTTAACACCCAAAATATGCTAGACACACTTCCTACAATGCATGCACAGTCATTTTTATTTTTGCCCTTTGCCACATACACATGGTTCAGTGTGTCTTACTGAATTCCTTTTTCTTTTTAACATTCATCTGTTTCTTTCTCTGTCCTCTATCTTCCTTTTTTCTCTATTTTCTCCACTCTTTCATTATATCCAAGAACTTTCATTCCCTCAGTTCTTCCATGCATAGCATAGTAAACATTAAAATGTTCAGTTATAGTTGGGCTTCTAACCTTGTTCAACTTCAGCATCCATAAAGGGATTCTGTTTCTTGAATTCATTAATAGTGTTTTGCCACAAAAGGCTTTGTAGTTCTCTCCTGAATATTGAGACTAGCTTAATAACATTCCATTTATGTTAAAGACACATTTAATCTATAAATGTGACCTTTAGAAAAAATTCTCTTGTTTTTCATTAAAGAAATACAGTATTACAAATATTAATTATTCTTTGGTGAAGTATTTTAATTAACTAATCATGCACTATTTGAAGCAATAAAGAATGTATGTACAGTAAGGCTATGCAATGTAAGATCAATATCAAAGAACCTATTTCTGCAGAAAAGATATGTTTGGATATCTTCTTTGGACGCAGTTTCTTTTATGAAGTATTTAGTCCAGAATAATGCTTTCTTTTGCTTATTTGTTTTGTATTTTAAATGCCCATGCGAGCCTGTTTAAAATGCTGAACATATTGTTAGCCCCATTGCTAATAAGTGAACGTTCACTGATGCATATTAGCAGGCTCTTGCAAGGTGGGTAAATTGTCACTGAAGTGTTTGGAGTCTGAACACAGAAGATGACAGGCAATGCCGAAGGTCCGACTCCACTGCATGTCTTCACTGTAGCTGGAGTCACTGGATTGGCGAAACCAGTTTAGGTTCAAGGTCGCTGCTGACATTCAGCTGTCACGGCTTCATTGTCCGCTGGCCTTCTCTCCATTGACACATTCAAGAGTACTTTACAGCAACCACAAAGAGCCAGTCAATTGATACCATTACACTTCATGCACACACAAACCACAAGCCTGTTCAGGACTGTTGATACAGTCTAACATTTATTCATTAAGGGATCTATTGAAAATGCAACTTACCCAGCCCCACTCTTAACAACATAGACTTACTTGTTTAGTCCAAACATTTAGCTTCGTCTTTTTCAAGTTTTGCACAGCATTCTCTAATTGAGGTAACATTATCTGCATTTTAATGCTACACCATTTATGTCCAATGAAAGATTACCTGAAGAACCCTGCCATTACCACACTAGTTTAAATACCGGCGGTTGTATAGAAAAATATACACAAAAGATGTAAGCAGGGGGAAAGGGAGATATTTATTTGTTCTGGGAATGCCACGGAAATCCAGTTGCTTAGAAATGAAATAAGAGTCTGAAGTGAAAGGAGGGAAACCTAAGCTTGGGTCAGGGAAGAGGCAGTGATTAGCTCCATTGTTAGGAGCTCTTTGAGCTTCGTTGGTTGTAAAGAAAAACCCACTAATGAATCTATTGAAGCTTGCCAGAACTTTGTGTTGAAGACAACATAAGTTATGGTGTTGATCTAAAGAAAAATGCTAGTAAGGCTTGTGGATACACAAAACAGCACATATGTCTCTGTATTAACAGCTTGCTCGTAAAAACAAAAAAAAGTTGTTTAAAGATGGCCTATTTAACATCATATGTTTGAGTCAATATTCTCAGGTCTTGAAAAAAAATATCGATGATGAAATGTAAAAAAAATATATCCTATTTAATAGTTAAAAGATCAGGAAATCAGGTAAACGCAGTATAGTTAATGGCTTCTTGGTTTCCCACCGATATTTGTAAAAGAAAGACAAGTTTAAAAGGTAAGTTGAAAGGTTGTTTAATATTTTGCATATATTAAACATGCAAAATATTTCATTTTTGAATATAATCAAATGGTGTTATATCTCACAGACTTTTGGGGGAAAATGGTCAATATGTCCATGTACTGTGCATAGTAAAAATATGCTTTGTTTTCTCACATCATATATGGTGTTGCTAATAGAATTGAATCTATTTTTCCAGCCTGATATAATATTCAATTACAGGAGCCTATTTAATGCACAAACAACATTATATTCTAAAACAAGGCTATAGACATTGTTAGAATTCAATTAGCAATTAGTATAGAAGAGAAAATAACTCCATTCAATTACTTGATCAAGATCATTGCTAGTTCTGGAAAACACGCACTGTGCAGTTACATACTCTTCTGAAAGTGCTGTTCTGAAGTTTTGTTAAATACTTGAGTATTGCATTGGTAAAGCAAAATTCAGACACTTTAAAGAAAATGTCCCCATACCACACGGCTCTCCATCCATATGCATATCTTGACTTTTGCACAAGAATGAAGTTTGCAGACAGGCAGTAGTGGTGCACACCTTCAATCCCAGCAATCAGGAGGCAGAGACAGGTGAATCTCTTTGAGGTTGAGGCCAGGCCAGTCTAGTCTACAAAGCAAGTTCCAGGATAGACTCAAAAGCTACAGAGAAACCCTGTCTCAAAAACAAAACAAAGCAAAAATGAAGTTTGCTACTTAAGAAATGCAATTCTCTCTTTCTCTCTGAGAACTTAAATCCATCGATTGATTTGCTCATATTTTCATGTACGCAAAAATATTTTTCCTTCAAAGCATACTGTTTCAGGGCATCAAGACCAACTGCTAAGCAGAATCCTTTCTTGCAATGCCAAAGGTCTCTTCAATGTGACATCTAGGATTTCTAAGGCCCCAGGAGACTTTTTAGGGAAATTACCTATTAATTATCATAAAATTCTCTTTAATTTCACGTTGACATATGGAAAGATAGTGGTTCTACAGAAGATAGGAACATTTCTTCACATAGTTGTTTAATCCATTTCGGCAATCAAACAGATATGAACAAAATCTAAACATAACCAAAAATCAACAACCAACAAAAGACCTACTTAGATGGCTCTAGTTTTTCTCAGGTCTAAACCACCAGGAATGCATTACTGGGAAGATTTTTTTTTACCAATTGCTTTTCTTTGATTATATTTTTAAAGCCACATTTAAAAGTATTTGCTGTGTGTGTGCATGTGTGCACGTATGGAGGTTAGAGGGAGCTTGCAGGAGTCGGTTTTCTCCTTCTGCTATTTGTGCTACAGGTTTTAGCAGCCTGTGCCTTTACCCACTGAATCATATTGTCCTCAGCATCCCTTCTGCCTAAAATTTTAGGTTAGGAAACTTGGCTTACTTATTTAGAAGTTTTAGAACTAGAACTGTAAAACGTGTGCAAAATATTCAAGAGCTAGAGAGAGTTAACATAGCAGAACTTGGTAGAGTAACTACTGCATGCAAGGGATTGTTTGGATACCACCTGTGTCATGTAGTCTCCATTACTGTCCTGTGTGTCCTGCAAGCGTTCTTTCTTTTCATGGATGAGAACTTCTACCAACCTACCCTAGTATGCGAAGCAAGAGAGGGGCAAGCTTCGCTTAGGCCAAGGACAATGTTCTTCTGAAGTTCATACCATCCTGAACACTTATTCCAGCAAAAAAGACATAAAAGATCTGGTAAGATTTGACTAAGTTGCTGGCACTGTTTATGCTGCCTTCTTTCTCTTTTCTAGGCCTCATTTCTCTGTGAGTCAACTTCCTTTGATGGGCTATCTAATTTGCCCTTTTCTTCCCTTTTTTCCTTTTCTCCTACAGAACTCTCCTGAGGATTGGCCATCTTCTGTATGGATGTTGTTCATATCAATCAATGTCCACGACAGCTGCATAGAAGTAGTTTCACTGAAGACATCTGCTTATTCACACTCGTTCACACTGTATCTTCCCTGGAAGCCTAAAACATTTATATAATTATGTTACATGTAATTCTCAGAGCTTCTTGTCAGTATTCCCCTTTATTTCTTAATATTCAAGAGACAAACTTTTATGGTAAATCACCCCATGTTTCCCCCCGGATGCATCAATGTGTATCCAGTGTTACAATGCTGTCTGCACATATGTCTTTTTGGTACACACATGCGGCCTTCCCTTTCCAGCATCTAATCATTCTCTCTTCACACTGCCATTGTATAGATAAAATTTTATATGGCTCTGACACACTTGTTCAAGAAAAATAAAATGCTGTTTTCAAGCACATATTATCAGTTTTGCTCATTTGAATGTCAAAGAGATTGCCCCACTTGAAAAATAGAAAAGTACTTTTATTACACATATGTATATTGTCTTTCATAATACAATTTGTTTTTGTCTGTATTTTCAAGAGCTCTTAAAATGTTGACTTACAAAAATACCTTAGTGAAATTGATATCAAATAATATTAAAATAATAACAAAAGGAAAAAAATGACCAAGGTAAATAATCCACATACTTACTAAAAATAAGTACAGGTTTTTGTTTTTCTGATATGACTTGATTAAAAAGATTTATGATTATATTAAATCTTACATTAGAGTATAGACTGTTCTGGGGGATATTTCTTCCATGGTATAAAGTCAGTATTTTACTGTTTATTAAAATACAGTTAAAGTAAATATTATATTGCATGATGATTTGGCAAAAGTATATAAATCTTACAAATAATTTTCCAAAAATATGTACTTTTAGAAGAGTGACATGTGCTTTTACTATAGTTCTCAGTTAATTTCTATTCTAGAAGGAGACATATTTGATGGTCACAGCGACTATAATTAGTGAAATCAGTAATCTGTGATTTATTATCCTACAAGAACTAAGAGACTGGGGAGATCTGGCTCAGATGACTTTGATGGTCAACTGTAAGTGCACTTAAAGTTTCTTTGTCGTGTGGTTCTCTTCAGGGAGACAAGAGAGTACATGTCCTTCATGAGAACATTTCTGCAGTATCAAAACTGAGTAATCTTTACTTCATGGCAACAGAATTTTATAGCACAGACAGTAAGTAATTGGGTAGATGTCACTGAATACTAAACAATAATTGATATGATATACCCATATGCACATATATGTTCACATGGTGGCATATAATGGTTGAAAAATTTGGTTCTATCGGAAGGCCTGTCACTTTTAGGTCAGTGTAAGATTTTGGGGTCGGTGTCATCTTGCAGTAGACAGTTCTCTTGGCCACTGTGGTGTGTAAGGGTTGTTTGTTGTTTGTCTTGTTCGTGATGCTTAGCCAAGGAGACACTTCCTTTCAGTTCCTGTCTTCCAAACCCCAGGGCTCTGTTCTGGGCAGTTCAGCCTAATGGAATTAAGCCTGACATGTTTCAACTCTATTTCTTTATAAAATAAACATAAAACAATGGCTTCGATTTCTAATAAAACTCTTGAAGCACGGGGAACTCCAACTTTCCCTGTTCTTTACACAACTGTAAATAAAGCGCATAAAGGAGGAACACAACAGGATAAATCAACATAAATTTGAAATCCACCGCAGCATATTAAATGGTGCAGTCTCAGTCAAAGGGAGTCTGACCCCGAGGCTTCGTGCAGTTTGAAGCTAATTGTTTTCGTCAGGATGGGAACGGCTGAAAGTCCATGGCTGTGTCCCACCAGTAAGGCTCCAGTAACTGAGCTGGCCCACAGAGAATGAGCCCACTTTGTAGCGACACAGCGGGCCCAGACAGCACCTATTCTGCTCCCCAAACTGTCATGCATAACAACTTTATTGTGCTAAATTGAACTTGAAAGCAACCAAAGGCTATGAGAAGGAGAGGCTATGAGAAAAGCGTGCTGTCAACCCTGGCAAAGGTTGACCTGGAAAGTAGTCTCAGGGCCCGTGAATAAAGGACCAGGCCCCATGAACACAGCACATTGTTTCATTTTAAAGTATGATTCCCATACCAGAGAAAGTAGCAAATGTGATGTAAATTTATTTAAATAGATTCGACCGCTTAAAAGTTTTTCAGCCGCTCTTATCCAACTTTCCCAGCTCTCTGATTCGTTACTTACAGTGGGAATATAATGACATATAGTCATCATTGTAACAGCTTCTTTGCAGGGGCACAATGATGATTAATAGCCAGCAGCAAATTTTCACATGGGCTCTGAAGCACTATGGCATTAAGCAGCCAAACAGTCCCAAATCCCCCTTTTCTGTTCCACTGAAAAGTCCCTCCTTGTACCTTGCAGATAGGAACAAAGCTTATCTTAATTCCAATCAGCTTTCCCCCATTCAAAGGGACCTTCTCTCTTTCATAATTGATTCATGTGCATTTTTTAGGGTTCCACTGAACTGCAGCCACTTTTCTCCTTTTCTCTGTTCTCTCCCCACATCAGTACCCCTCTTTTTTTGGAAAGAGAGTGGAGAGTGGGAAACATTCAACAAGAACAACACCAACAACAGAAAAAAAATCTGTGGGCTTTTTTTTTTCTTACTAATTTTTTTGCTAAATAGATTTCTCAGTTAGTACTGTGTGTGTTCTACATTTAAAGGTTTTATGACAAAAGTCACTCCTGGGTGTCTCCACCATGAGTTTTAGCTATTAAAAAGTATGAACTGAAATGTCAAAGGTAGAAACCCTGCATGGACTCACTATTCCTGTGGGGAACTCTGCACAGTTTTGGCTTCCAGGAAAGACTCACAGCTAAGGTAAGAACAGAGCCCCTGGCTCCAAATGTACCCTTTATTTTCTCCCTATGCTGGTAAGCCATGAAAAAAGGTACAAACTACCAAAATAGAAGGCAGAAAATTGAGAACCCCAACCCATGGTACCCTTATTAAGTATCTTTTCTGTCCATAGCAGTCTTATACCATAATTATTAGCAAAATCCCCTATGCTGTCTGAAAAAGTGTCCCTCATCCATAGTTTCCACCCCCATGATAGCAGCACAAATGACATCATCCAATGCTCTCTAGGGAAGGGATTGCCACAGTAAATTCATTTGTGCTTATTTGATAATACAGTGGCTACTTAACACAGAGCATTAATCGATATGCTTGAATATCTGTTTACATTTCATATGTCTCGGCCCTCACTTTTCCTCTATGTGGTATGAGTGAATCCCTGTTTTCCCGAGACCCATCTCAATCCTGCCTACTATCCTTGCAGAAGTACTGACAGTGATTTCTCTCCGCCTACTAATGTCCAGATCCTAACAGTTTGAAAACCCCATGCCTTTGCTCTGGAAATGGCCCCAAAAGGCTTACACAAACCAAAAGGGCAGGCCATGTCAGACCTGAGTGACGGTGGATTGTCCTATATTTTCACAGTTTAGGGGGGGGGAAAATGAACCAAATTCAGAAGCGCTGCTGCTGCTGGTGGCACCAACTTGTGTTTCCTTCTGTTCAGAGGTTGGTTGACTCTACACAGCTTCTTTGATTTGTGGCAAAAGGAGACCGTTTGCTGAAAGACATATTATAAACCACATTTTAAATGTGACACTGTCCTGTGGCTGGGTCGCAGTTCTTGCTGTGAATCAGAGCAAACACTTGAGTGGCCAGATAAAAAAAAACTCTGCCATGTGGCAGAACAGCAGCATTTCCTATGGTTTAGTGTCTCCAAAAGTAAGTGGAGACTATATCAAATGGATGGAAGAATTTGCGTTTATCATTTTCACTCCAATGTTTTCTAGCAAAAAGCAACATGTGAAAGTGGTTGTCTTGTATTACATGTCTACCATGGTTTCTACTCCAAATCTTAAACAAGTGATGGCAGTCCAGTATTTGTGTTATAGAATCAGAATTCCTCAGAGCGTGTAAAAATTCCACACAGCAATGTCTCTGGACATTGCACTTGAGATGTGGATTATGAATTTGGCAGAGAAGTATAATATTATTTGTCGCCACAGGACGGCCTGTGCCATGGTCACTACAGAGACTTGTATGTGTGTGAACTCCAGAAAATTTTGGGATAAATGTACTCTAGATATGCTACTTTAAGAACAACAACAAATCTACAAGCTTCTTTCTATCTTTCAAAACATGTTGTATATTCAAGGTCTGCTAAGACAGTAATCTAAAAATTATGACTGTTCCTTGTATGGCAGTCCTTCCATGCAGCCTGTCCTGGGCCTGCCTCATATGTGTAGGCCCACATCATCCCTCCTATAGATCATGCTTTCAGAAATGAACCAGGGGGAGATGTTTTCTGATCAGTCTTAAAAAGATGTAATAGGGATTTTTGTTGGGAGTTTATTTGTGAAGTTAATGGATAGTCTTGATGCAGTTCTACCATTCTGTCTTTTGTGGTAGCAATCTGCCTTGTTCAATAGGGTGATAAGATGAATCATCATCAAACTGCAGCTTTTGGAAATTCCTAGCTGCAAGCTTCACACTTGTATGTCTTGGGGAATCTAACAAGAAGAACTATCTCCCTTAAATTTTTCTATTTTCTTTCTTGCATCCGTTCTCAAAACTTTTGGTTGATTCTGTTGAGTCTTTAACAAAGATGTGTGCATTTACTAAAATAAAAGTTCAAAGAGTGCGTTTGTTCTTAAATTATAGGGTAGGTCTGAGCTGCACTACAACTGATTTGAACATACTAAATAAGACATTTGCTGATTTAGTTTTCTATCCTCTCTTTACATACTTCCATACCCATGAGAAATGCGACTGAAATGTTCATATGAGCCACTGAAATATCACTATTGAGTGGGTGTGATCATAAACACCCTGTGTTCATGAAAGACTGTTGCAGACACAGAGGATTTTAAAGCTCACTGTGGCAAGTTTTCTTTCAAACCTGAGTTTCTTAGAGGGATTTCTAGGGACATCCAGAAGGATTCAAGAATCCTGTGCTGATTTTGTTTTCTGGGATCACACTGGGAACTGCAGGTCAGAGTACCTCCTTAGATTTTGGCTTGAGACTGCAACATTACCTTGTGTTTTACTCTCATGCATACCACTTCAGCTACTTATCACTCAGTGTCTGTCATTCGAGCATGGTCTTGACATCTTTGCTCATCTCTCCTCCCTCTCTACAACTAGTTTCAGGAGTTCAGCTCAGTGCTTAGCTGTGGGTGGCTGCTTCTGCTTCCATCAACTACTGGAAGGCTCTAGGATGGCATATACGGTAGACATTAATCTCATTATCAGGGAATGGCATTTAAGGTAGCCTCTCCACTATTGCTTAGATTGTTAGTTCGAGTTAATATTGTAGATCTCTGAACATTTCCCTAGTGCCAGATTTCTCATTAAACCTGTAATGGCTTCCTCTATT